TTCTTGGGAAATACGAGTTTTTGAACACCTCAATTCTTGGTTGATAACTCTGATATTTGAAGGCATGACTGTTTCTTGCCATTGTCTGGGCTAGTATCAGATACTTAGTGGTTGGTACGTCCACCAGTCTATTAGTCATTTTATATCTTTTATAATGAGCAGGAATGTTTAGAAGCACTGCTGGGTTTTATATTATAGCCTTAGGCTACTCGCGTCGTGATCAAAGAAGATGATGCTTTTGACTGTGTTGTCTTTTCCTACGCATTGTTGACTTAATTGACTTAACTGGGAAACACAATTTATCTTGACGTCGACATCTCTGCTAGCTATTCTTCCTGTGGTCCTTAATATGTAATAAATCAAAACAAAATAAAGTAAAATTGTCACACGGGTTAACCATAGAGCACCATACTTTTAAAAAATACATGGTATACATCATGCAATGATCCCCACGATGCAAAAATAGCTAAACACATAAAAGACTGCTTTGTCATTAGAAAAAAATACCAAAACTCGTGATTAGCCCCACTCAATTGTAACACTATATCAAAGAATTGTGCTAGTCTTTGTTGTTTTATTAATCAGGATATATTAGGCTTTATTCTACATTAGGTCGTATTCAATACATTTCGTTTTTTTTTTACTTTGACATACATTGTACCATGTGCAATTGTCGTGCAATAAAGTTATTCTACATTAACAAATGTGCATGCCACACCTGCTTCAGAAATGTGCATGCCACACCTGCCCTGACTTGTGAACTATTCCAGTGGTGAAGTACAAGAATCTTTTCTTCCCGGATTTTTTTTGTGTGGTTTGGACAGTACTATAGTTTGATCAAGTTTTATGTTGTTGATCGTGTTTGATACTGACTGTTCTTTGACTGGAAGGTGAGTTGGTGGTACAAGGTGTTTAGCATTCAAGTTTCAGTGCAGAAGAGGCATTGGAACAAATGCCATATACGCAGTATGGTGCAGGCCTTCACTGCTGCTACAGTAAGTGCCTCTGGCAGTCCTATCCATTACAGCCGAAGCCATGATGAATAAAACATACACAGTACGGAACAACCAGGATTAAACTTCAATCCAGGCACATGAAAGGTAGCAATTGAGCGAGATTTTTTTTGGAAATCGCAGCAATGCTGTCCTATACCCCACGGCTGGTCACTATTTGGAACAAGTTGGGTCCTTCGTAATTTTGTGCACAGGCCACTTAAGTGTCCAACATTTCAACACTTAAGCGATAACTTGTAATTCATCAGATTTAATGTACATTATAGTTTCGACTTTTCTTGCACTTGCTCCAATTTTGTGAGTGCGTCGCCTGTACAGCACTCATTAGTATCATAGTTTTTAATCATTACTTATCGAGTTTTTATGTACATGTATGTAATGTTTGTATTGTATTGTATTGTATTTTAATGTACATGTATCATTGTGCTATTTAGTTAATATTGTATCCTACATTAAAACTTGTTTAAACACAGGACCGAAGCTAGGCACTCATTTACACCTGTCATGTGAAGACATAGGCCTTTTCCAGCAGCATAACAATGGGACCTGCGAGGGATTCGAACTCAGAACCTTCGGTTTCTCAGTCAACAACCGAGCTACAAGACCACCCTGTCACCTTTTATTTCAGCAAACTGGATATTTGTCGCTAAACAACAAAACAAAGACACAAACTAAAGACACAAGTAGCTACTGCAGCAGGCGCTCCTATAGACTATAGAGGCAACTTCTAAACAGATCACGTCAAAGAAGCATAGTCTAATTCAATTTTGCCATGAAGACCCCATCAGTCGTGGCCGTGTAAAACGAATTACAGAAAGTGCAGCACGGAATGGAATCAATAACAGTCTGCTTGACCTTTGCTTACCAACGGTTACAGGAGCTTCTAGTTCAGGCACGAACAAACGAAATGAAAAAAAAAAAGATTAGAACTCAGGAGTCTGCAATCACTAACCCAAGAGGTATCTCGCGCAACCTGGAGCAAAAAGAGCGTTCTTGTGTCGATAAATATTAGAATTCGGAGATCTCAGTCCTCCAGGAAATATTTAGGTCTTGTGTCAAGCTGTCAAGGAGGTCATGTAACGAAAACACCTGTGGAAAAAGCGAGCGCTACCTCCAGTGATTTAGACGTGATTAATGACTTTCTCCCTCTGGGACAGACTGAACCATATCCGTTACAACGTTACCTAAGGGCCATGCGGAAACACACACACATACATACACGGACATACAAATAAAACAATACTTCCATTCTTCATCCATACAATGTACCCTGTACATGATCCAGCAATAAAGATCATCATGCTACACTTTCCGGTGTCAAGAAAAAATTCCACCCGCCTGTCGAGACACATCTATTTTGACACGTTCCCGTGTATTTCAAAGGGACGTCTTTCCGCTCCTGGAACCCTAACACCTCTCGGGGAGCATTTTCTCCGGCGGGGCGAAAGCAATTTTCGCTTTAAAAAAAGCCAATTACCCCAGAGGCGACCTCTTTACAGCCGTTAGTGTTCTAATCCGCTGGTGCTCAAGTGCAGCGGCTTCACGCCACTCCGACACGCCGGCATGAAGATTTAATCAGGAATCTCGATATATATTACTCAGGACCTTTTAGCAAGGAAGTCACTACATCATCAGTCGACCTGCATGATAATAACTACGAAAAATGGCCAATGGCCAGCTTATTATAAACCATGTACAACATAGAGCGGCGATGTCTCGATCTTGCAGATTTTGAACTACGCTCAGCCCATAGTAAAATAAGAGTAGGCGCCCATCCTCTGGAAATAGAGAGAGGCTGGTATGGAAGACTACCTGTATGTGAATTTGTAAATATAGTGCAAAGGCTGTGGAAGACGAAATACACTTTATCTCAAACTGTTCGTTACATGACAACGCTCGAAATGAGTTGACTATTCAAATATCTGCAATTTATCCCAACTTCACAAAACTTACAGACAAACAAAAAACTATTCTTCTTTTAACTTCCCAAAACCCACAAACTTTGGAAAAGGTGGGACATTACGTCTTCCATGGTTTACAAAAGAATAGTCAAACCCTTCAGACATAGTTTTAGACATAGCAATAGTTTTAGACAATTAGATTTCATTATGTACATTTTAAAGTTATTTTATACTCTGTTTCAGAGTTCTTTTATGTTTGTATTAAACTTGCAATTAGCCTTCGGGCATGGATTTGCAAGAAACTTCTATATTAAAGGAATCCAATGCGATATGTCAGGGCAGCAAAAACTGGAAATATTCTGAATAAGGCAATCTTTGTGATATTGACACATATTGCTTCACATGGGCACATTTGAGTCAGTATTTCATACTTAGGGCATTTAAAACTACAGAAACAAGCCCACGATGCGTCCTTTATTTTGTAGGTGGTAGTGGTACCCTAAAAATCAGCCCAGGGCCCTTCCAGTAACCATTTCCCTCGGAATTATGGGAATATTTGCTCCATGAGGGTTGATATACATTGGGATAGCGTTTTTTTACTCAGTATGTAGATGAGTGACTAGAATATTGGCTTTGAAAAATCTGCTTTCCAAGCCTTAAAAACTGCACTAGATGCCTTTAAAAGCCTGACAATGAATGAAAAGAAGCGGTTTCTTTTTTTTTCATTTATGATTTATCACAGTATTGATTGGTGAACCGATCGAATCTTCAGCTCTTGGAAGTTTTTTGCTGAGTAACATTGCTAATGAGCCAAGTGGGGTTTTTGGAAGCTACACCGGCGGGACCATCATTGAGAAGTAGAAAGGGTGTTTTATCATTTATCATTACATGGTGACTGGTCTGCACCACTGAATCTTCTCCTGGCTACAGTATCTGTATCAGTATAACTGCCATTCGCCGTAACACACCAGCTTCGCAGGCACTCGGCGCGGCGGCAGCTGGCTATATCACACCGAACGACTTGTTACACCCAATCTTTGCACATTTAATTGCAGGACTTGTTTAAAGCTTTCTAGTGATGATCCCCAACTGTGCCTGATGCCAACGAGTTCCAGTCTACGATAGTTCTTGGGAAATACGAGTTTTTGAACACCTCAATTCTTGGTTGATAACAATGACGGCATCTCTGGGCTGGTATCAGATACTTAGTGGTTGGTACGTCCACCAGTTTATTAGTCATTTTGTACATCATGCACAGTCTGGACATTCTTACTCTGTAGTAATCCAGTAGTACTCTTCTCAAAGGAAATATGTTGGAGGACAGCAACAATCAGCCGTACCTAGTGTTGGAATAGTTTGTTCGCAAAACAACTACAAATGCTATGATAAAATGCAGTATTGTGCCTGAAGCAAGGAAATACTTGCCTATCAAGAACCATGGCCTAGGCGTAAGAAAGAGTACCATACTAGTATACAACGTGTCCAGTTTGGACTTTGCGTTATAATTTTACACTGATAGATACATTGTACAAGGACACGCAATGTCTAGTAAAAATTAGTTCTTTTTACACGTCTATATATACTGCGGGTATAAGAAGGGTGGCCTCTCCCAATATGTAACCACTGGGAAACAGAAGCTCGACATGTTAGAACTAATTATCATAGTTCTGCCATGTTTGTCTTAGTAGTATTGCGTTTATAAACATTTGTATGTGCTATGTTCACGTATTTCAGCCTATGGGTGCAGCGTACCATATAGGCCAACATTGTGCTGTATTTTACTGGTATTTATGACTTTATGACTAAACCATGACTGGATTGATGGTAATGATTTAACAACTTTCTTTTAAAATAATTACAGCTGGGATTAATGTACTATAGGCCTACATTGACTTTTATGACCAAACCATTAATAGATTAATTGTAAGATTTTAACAGCTTTGTTTGAAAATTAATGTATTACAGGTTTGGTTAATGTAATATAGGCCAACATTGTGCTGTATTTTACTGGTATTCATGACTTTATAACTAAACCACAAATAGATTGATTGTAAGATTTCAACATCTTTCCTTTAATGTATTACAGGTGGGATCTTCTCCAGTAGAAACACGATGGAGGAAGACGCCTTCCGATTCGCCGCCAAGTTCATCAACAAACGGCGGGACATCCTGCCGGACACCGCCCTGACTGTGGTCACCAACTACACGGAGGTGTTCCAGACCTTCCAGTGCATGCAGGCAGGTGGGTGATGAAGTCTATACGGTAGATTGTATTGTAAAACAAGACTGGCAATGAAAACATACATTGCCATGGCGACGGTGGTTGCTGTTAGGGTTATTGATTTTGAGGAAGCCTTGGTCATAGCTGGGACGGCACTTGCGCAGAGCTGCCTTTTTGATAGAAGATAGGTCATTTTAATTTTATTATATGAATCTTCGTCCGTTTCCAAAAAAGGTTTTGTCTCTACGGTAATTCGTACAAAGCAGCTGCAAAAAGAGCAGATACATTGAAAAAAAATCGGAAAACGATACTAATGTCGTACAATATGCCAAAATCAATTCCAAATTTGAAGAAATGAAAACGAAGAGTCTATCATTAAGGCCGTACAGACAAATTCATATTTTAATGAGCTTAGACAAACCTTAGATTAAAAAACATACCCGTTCTTACCGAGGAGAAGCCGAATTTACTTAATTGTAGATACTTGCAATTGATAGTGTACATATAAGTAACGTTATTGTGTGTTTGTTTGCTTGTTTGTTTGTTTGTTTGTTGTTTTTTCATTTACAACTAACAAAAAACAATTGAGAAATAAGTAGACATGCATGGTAGGGCCGGACCTGTTGGTTTATCTTAGGCTCTCCCCAATACTACAAAATTAAAAAAAAGATAAGTTAAACGTTATCTTTAGTTACGTAAGTTATCTGTATTCTGTTCTTTTGTTGTGCCCTGTACTCCAACCCAGCGGGTATGTGTGTACGATAAAGGTCTTCATTTATTTATTCATTCACCATACAATACTCTGTGTGTTTATTCATTTGTTCAACCTTCATGACCACGTAGATTTCATAACAAAGACAACATTTTGCCAAACTTCAGTTTTGGGGTTCAGATGTTAACCTTATAATCACATATCTTTTACCATACCTTTCACTTCTGGTACCCCGGTGTGAAACATTATACAGCATGATGTCAATACGGTAACTAAGTCTGATGATATTAGTGATTAGGTCGTTTCACACGTCTGATACATAGGGGAATATGCCCCGACATTCTCCTGTCTATCATATGGCCAGATAGTCCCTTCATACAGGCAATAATGGCATTGCCGTGAGTGCCATCAAAACATCTAGCTACTATTTTGCCTGTCTTCTTGATATCTGCTGATTTTTTGCTGATCCGGACCTTCTGGTCTGTATCTGTATAGCCGGTATAACCGCCCTTCGGCGTAACACACCAGCTTCACAGACAATGCCCCTACTGTATAAATGTACTTGGTGACAGCTCTGCCATAGGAACTTGCTGTCACCAAGTACATGTACATGTATACAGTAGGGAAATAATAAGAAATAGTCATGCCTTCAAGTACCAGAGTTACCAACCAAGGATTAAGGTTCATAACTCTGGTACTTGAAGGCATGACTATTTCTTGTTATTTTCGGAGCTGGTCTTGGGTACTTAGTAGTTGGTAAGTCCACCAGTTTATTAGTCATTGGTCGTAATGCTGTAGGAAGAGCTACTTTAAAACGGGATTATTTCATGTCACTGCACGAAATCCAATCTTTAAGCGTGCTCAGAAATGGCAATAAATGCCAGTATCAGACAGTCAGATTTCCTTATATAGAATATGTTCGTAATTCATGCCTATAATACATAAAGCTGTTGATAAAATACATTAAATACCAAGTATCATATACCATGAGTCATTTAAAGGCATCCAATGTGATTTCAGAACAGCCGAACTGGAAATATTCTGAATAAGGCAATCTTTATGATATTGATACATACTGATTCACATTAGTACATTTCAATCAGTATTTCATACTTTGCCTTTGGGAATTCAAAACTGCAGAAACAAGCCCCAAGATGGGTCCTTTATTTTCTGGGTGGTACCCTAAAAATCGGCCAAGGGCCCTTCCAGTAACCATTTTCCGTCAGAACTTGTGTTTTTGCTCCATGAGGGTCAATATACATTGGGATAGTTTTCAACTGAGTATGTAGTTAAGTGACAAGAATATTGACTTTGAAAAATCGGGTTTCCAAGCCCTTAAATTTGCATCGGATGCATTTAATGTTTGAATCCTAACGAACTCTGCTTGTTTCTGTCCCCAGCATGTTACCTCGCCGAGCAGGGTGCCGCTATCATCGTGGGTCCACGGAGCTCCACGGCGGTCAAAACCGTCAACAACGTGTGCTCAGGTCTGCACATCCCGCACATCGCACCTGTGGCGACCGACCCGCTACTGGGTAACTCAACATTTACCTTATAACTAACTAGAGTTCGTGGAACACATGCCTTCGTCAGGTACAGTTTTTTATTGTTTTTTTAGTGTTACTTGGCTTTCTAGGTATTGCAGCGTATACGTATCGTTAAGATTTGAGGTTAAAATTTTCCACAAGTGTTAGGTCATGGATAGGTGAATAATTTTTGAGCAGTGGATAGCTGTTAAAGGATGAGAGCAAATGGTGTGATTTTTGGACGCCTAGCAGCTTGTTTAGAACTGTAGTGGACTAACGGAATACATACCCTTCTGACGAAGACAATTAAAGCAGCGGACGATGCCCTGCATGATATGATTATGAACCCATCAGACCTTTCGAAACATACGAAGATTTTTTCGGAGACCTCGGACCTCCATGAAATACCTAGATCATGTGTGATGGTGACTGTGTCTTCTCATTCACCATGATGTCTTCACATCTTTCTTTATCGTACAAAGGAAACAACACCAGCTGTCAGCTGTCAAGGAGGTCATGTAACGAAAATAAGACAGCGAGTGCTTCCAAATGTAGACGACTTTACTCAAATTCGATTCGATTCGTATAGAAGAGTAGGCGTGGCCTAAATCTGGTCAGACTGGTCCCGAACTTCTTCCAACCTTGGTTTTTGGTCGGTTGGTGGTCGGGGGAAGGTTCCAAATGTGTGGCATTTGCTTGACTGACACATGTAGTTTTACATCATGAACCATTGTCCTCCCAGGAAACCAGAGGATGTATCCGTACCTACTGCGCATGTCCTCCCCTGACACGGAGCAGAGTCGCGCGCTGATCGCCCTCGTCAAGCATTTCGGCTGGACGCGCATGTGCATTCTGACGTCACTCAACGATTACGGTGAGCACTCAAGAAGAGACTGGGATGAAATTTAATACTCCAGAGATAAACCAGCGAAGATAGCTCACCTCAAATTTTCAGTCGCTTATATACTTCGACCTTCTTCAGGAGTGAGATGATTCAATCACTCTGAACACGTGACCCCAGGCACACGTGACTCGAGGAATGAGTTGTAATTTCCCGACAGTCTTTGCTGGTGTTGATAGACTAAAGTACTGTGTCAACCTTCAACCTCATCTGTGCTGGAATTTACCAGCACAGATGAGCTTTCATGCTAAGAAGAGACTGTATGAATAACTATGTCTCAACAAGTCAGAAGAAAAAATCACCATAAGCATCAGATGTGATTTCAACATTCTAAGTCCGAAACGACAAGAATGTAGGCATCGCAGAAAGGATCATGATACAAATTTTGAATCCAAAATTTTAACCCCACTTTTATACATATACTATTATATAAAACATGAAGTAATTATAAAGTTACCTCACCTTTTCTTTTGAAATCGTAGAGATGAAAACTGAATTTCCTCCTTGCTTCGCATGCAGGCATGAACGGCGTTGTCGAGTTCCAGTCTGTGGCGGCGAGTTACAACTGGGACGTGGTGAGTGTTCAGCAGTTCCAGGTCAACAGCGACCCCTCGCAGATAGACGTGAGACTGCAGCTGCAGAAGATCAAAGGAACAGGTTCGAGTACAAGTCCGCGTTACCGAAACATACTTTATGATTCTTAATATTGCAGTAAAGAAGAGACCAGTCTATAAATAGGAAATGCAGCATGCATATTGATAAGTTTATATCTGGTAATGTAACACCATTATAGATTTAGATCTGCGTGGCTTTGACTTCATAATACACAACTTGTCTTTTATTTCCTTTGATGCCCATGATAATTGATGATAATCATTCTAGGGCGTATGCATATTGAAGGTGTTGTGCTGTGGTGCAATTGGCGTTCACCTCACTTTTTCGTGCAAAACGTCTGTTTTTGCCAAGTGGCATAAATTTTTCCCCATAGAGGTGGAATTGGGGACCTCTTTTTCCCATACAACCTCCTTGATTTCACCAATATCAAACACAGGAACCTCTAGATTAACGTAAAACCTATATTTTCAGGAGTTCGTGTGATCATCCTGAACTGCCTGGCTATCCACGGGATGAGAGTGTTGGAGCAGGCGGAGAAGATGGGCCTGACGTGGCGGGGCTGGGCCTGGATCGTCACCGACGGTTTCACGGGGATGGTACGGACGTACATGTACTCACAAGTTCTGTAAAGCCCCTGTCACATGGACTACCGAATACTAGAACTACTGGTGTTCGGGGGTCAATTTGACTCAAGTTTAACTCAAATTCGATTTGCTTAGAATGGTAAGGTGTGGCCTAAGTATCGCAAAACTGCTCCCGAAGTTCAGCCAACCTTGTTTGGGGGTCGGGAGAAGGTTCTGGGCTAGTCTGAGCACTGGGCTTGAATATTGCCTGTCTGGTGAATTACTCATATTTGCACACAATCCACAAATTCTGATATGATCTTCCTGAAATCGTTTATTTGCGTCTAACAATCCTAACTAACTTTTTCCAGGCTGAGGTGACTGCGAAGAAGCCCATCCCACACTACCTGCAGGGCCTGGTGGGGACCCGGCCGGCGCCCGGGCGGGGCGGTCTGTACGAGACCTACCTGGAGGCCTGGAGATCGTCACCTGAGTACAGCGGCTATCCACGGGACGGGGAGGGACTGGAGGTAAACTTCTCAATCTGCAACTCTCCAAGCAGAGGTTCGGGTTTTAGCTTAGGCTTTTTATCGGGCTTTCTTTATTGGGGGCCTGCAGGGGGGGGGGGGTCCGAGACAACGCTCTACGCTAAATCATGAGAGCCGGTTACGTATTACGGAAGCCTCTCGATTATATACGCTTTACGATGAATTCCAAGTGGCTACAACGCATTATGTAGAATTAAAACGGCTAATACGCTCTGCGCAAATGCGCCAATTACGCTCTAGGAAAAGGGCATGCGGGCCCCTTTATTGCACTGGAATCTTTCTTTACGTTGGAACATTGCAGTCTATAGGTTCTATTGCTGTAACTTTGCTTTGCCATGGACAACTCTGAAATGCAATAGTAAGTCATGGTAAAGTCGTACCACAAACTTCCATGCGAAGTTTACTTCTCTGCACACGAACATCGCGTTTATGAACCTCCATTAGAGGTCGACATCTTGTCTAGTGTTCAATGCCAGCTAAAAGTTTGATGAGAATGTTGAACTTTAAGGGCCGAGCAGTAGCTTGGAAATGTCTTGGGTAATGGAGCAGTAAAATGTGGTTGGACTAAACTAAAAGGGAGATGTGTTCGCTGAGTGTGCCAGTGCACCACATGGTCTACATGTACAAAATTATATGTGTGCCATGAGCCCAAGTTGGCTACTGTTCGGCTGCGCCAGCCAACTGTTTCAAAATACTTAAAACATTCGGGTTGTGGACGGGAGGTTCGGCCATGGTTGTTGGCTGGTGATTGGCTGGTGTTCGGAAGTAGATAAGAGCATGGTTGGCCTTCAAATTTGACTCATATTTAACTCAAATTCGATTCGTATATAAATGTTTTCATCGCTTAAATCTGGTCAGACTGTTCCCCAACTTTAGCTAACATTGGTCGGCTGGTGGTCGGGGGAAGTGTCAGAATGTTTGAAAGGGGACTTACATACACACATGAAGAGAGACCTAGTTGAAGTTCCCAATGCAGAGCCAAGGGGATTTCAATGTCTTCCTAAAGAAGGTTTCTAACAATTCTATACTCCATGTTTGCACATTTTCAGCAGTACCCAGGGTTGTTTGCTGACGCGGTGTTCACCTTTGCGTACGGCCTGGACGCCATGATCAAGAACCGCACCGAGGTCGTGCCGAGGAGCCTGAGCTGCCGGGCTGTTCCTGTACAGACCTGGAAACCGGGACAAGCGATCATGGACTACATGAAGAAGGTACAATACCAGTAAATACGGTACAGGATGGCAAGGTGGTTTGTACAACTCGTGTGGTGTAACGTGAGTGCTCGACTCGGAACCAAGTTCGAGTCCTGACATGCCACCGATCTTGTGCCCTTGGGAAAGCCACTTAACACCACTTTCCTCACTTAACTCAAGTGAAAATGAGTATTGTCTATCCAGTATTTGTTTATGTGTGGGATACAACACCAACAACAGCTGCCTGTGTCCCGCGTGTATTGTTTTGTTAAAATTCCAATAACTTGTGGTCTTGTGGTTAGGGTTGTTGACTCAGAATCAGAAGGTTCTGGGTTCGAATTTCTGGCAGGCCGCATTGTAATTTGTCCTTGGAAAAGGCACTTTACACCTGTTTCCTCAGTTCAGTCAGGTGTAAATGAGTACCTACATGTAGGTTCGGTTAGGGACGTCCCCTCGAATACGACGTAAAGCCAGAGGTCCCGTGTTTAAGGAGAGCCAGGCTTGTCGAAAAGAGCCCTATGCGCCACCTGATGTGAGAAGGATGCCACACCTGATGCCAAGTCCGGCGCCATTTATTTGTATTGATGTTTCTCGGAATAAGGATAATAACAAAATGCGATGGAAAGTAAATCTTGTTTGGCTATGACCACATGAACAATGTATGTTGTTCCTGTCCTTTATAGGTTGACAAAGACGGTGTGATGAAACGTCTTCGCTTCAGTCCCGAGGGGAAACCGGCGTTTGCCCTGTACGACTTCGTCAATCTCAGAGAAGATGGATGGAGAAAGGTTAATAAACTAAGGCGTCCAATGCAATTTTAGGGCGGCAAAACTGGATTTTTAAAGTCAACTTTCAGGCCATTATTTTAATCTGGATCAATCCTACCTCAAAGCCTACTGATGTCACTGACGTACATGTATCTTAAGCCAGTTCTAGTTATTTTGGTGGCACAAAAAAAAACAAAAAAACAAAGGGACTCCTCACATAGCTTGTTTTCGGGATATTTCAATCGCTTCAAGTATGAAATGATCATAAAAATGTGCTAAGAAATGGCAGTAAATGTCAATATCATCTAGAATATTTTGTATTGTCGCTCTGAAATTGCACTGGATGCCTTCAGACAAACTACTGTTTGTCTGTAACGCTAAAAGGTCTCTTGTCCATTTTCATCCAATAGTTATTTTTACAAACTAATTGACTAACCCATATGATGATGATGAATGGTTAGTGACACAAGCTAATTAAGTGCGTAAACTATTGGGGAATAGTTTCAAAGCAAATACATAATGTTTACCTTCGCATATGGTCTGTTCTGTTAATTCTTATTCAACGCATTCATATATATGGTCAGACAGGAGTCTAAATCCTTCCTGCTATAAAATTGCAACATGATGCAACCCTACACTAGTTACCATGGTGAGAGACGTATCGCTCAGGTCATTGACCATACTTGTTTGGAGAGGAAGAGGAAGAAACTGAGCAAAAACAATATGTTTTCCTTCGGTAAACATAACTACAGCCTGGGCAGCGACGCAGAAAAGAAGTGCTTGGAGGACAGTTTGCCGGGGCGCTACGCTTCTAGGAGCATGCGGACTTGAGTGAGTGAGTGAAACATAACTATGCCAATTTTCCACCAGATCGGTTCCTGGAGTCAGGAAACCCTGCAGTTCCCGCTAAACTCGTCAGTGGCGTTCATGAGCGGAGCCGAGACTGTTCAAGATTTCGTCACTGACCTGCGCAACCGTAGTCTGAAAGTGGTGACAATTCTTGAGCCTCCCTTTGTGATGGAGAAGGACGTGGATGAGCACGGCATCAAGCTGGTCGGGAACGACAGATTCTACGGTGGGTTTCACTCAATAAAGAATGGCAATAGCTTCACTGCCCTCCATTTTTGTTCGTACAAAACTTCCTACCTGAATGTGATTCAAGTAAGGATCCGGCGTTTTCAACGGTCCCGTTTCCCCATGTTTACACGTATGTTTTGAATAACATCAATTCGGAATGAATCTCTTTACTACCTACATGAAAAATGGAAGTATTGTTTTTGGTAAGTCTATGTGTGTGTGTCTGTGTTTCCTAATGGCCCTTAGGTTAGGTTGTATTGGATATGGGTTCAGGTCAGATGGAGAAAGTCATTAATTATGTCTACATCTTGTAGTGCTCGCTGTTTTCACAGGTGTTTTTTTCGATACATGGCCTCCTTGACAGCTGACAGCCAGTGTTGTTTCCCTTGAACTATAAAGAAAGACATCATGGTGTCACCATCACACAAGATCTAAACATTTCATGGAGGTCTGACATCTCGGAATTCTTGTTACTAACAGGAATTCGGAATGGACCTATACCATTATTACGTCACAGTTTGTTTACCGCAATGAATGCCGGTCAATCAACGTTTATATTGTACAGGGGTGCATAGCGCGGTGTGTGTTTCTGTAGCGTTAGCCTAATATAAGGCTTTTAATACAGTACTACTTTCGTCTAATGTCACAACTAAATCACCCATGCGGCATGTAATGCTGTGTCAACACAACTAGACGCAGCAAAAATCAGACATACCTTACTTTGAAATGATCTTTATTCTTTAACTGACCGTTCTAGAATGTTCTTTAGAACAGGTAAACAAACTGTGACGTAATAATGGTATAGGTCCATTAACCTCTTTATTCAAAACATGTCATGTTTTTAGACTTTCTCTGATGTTCACTAACATGTTTGTTCTACCGCCAGGATTTTGTGTTGACTTGTTGAAGCGGCTGGGCGACGACTTAGGCTTCCGCTACGAGATATATGTGGTCGAGGATAACACCTTTGGCATGAAGGATCCAATAACCGGCAGAGCCAATGGCGTCATCAGAGACCTGATAGAAAAGGTGATACAGCCTTAGTACGCATCGGATACTTGTAATTACCGCCATTTTTCTTGCCCCCGTGAAAAATGGAGGTATTGTTTAACTTTTTGGTATGTCTCTCTATTTGGTCAATTTCTACTTTTTCCAGATTGGGGCTAAGACACAGTCACCATCACACAAGATCTAAATGTTTTTATATCTCCATATTTCTGTCCATTATAGTTTTAAGATTTCCTTTCTGGTACTCCTACAGCAAGGATATAAGTGTATGACACCCTCTGTCGTTTTAATTAGAATACTAGCACACTCTGCATGCCGTGTATGTACATTCTTGATCTCACTTGCCTCAGCCTTATTATTGTTATTATGGTTGTCAGACTTCTCTCACGTGCTAGAAGTGTTCTTACTGCAAGGGTCCGCAAGAGTTACAGCGCTCATATATCGCTTTAGAATACACTTTGCATGCCGTTTATACTACGTTATTTATCTCACTTGTCTTATTCTGTCTCCCAACCGCCCAGAAAGCCGACCTGGCCGCAGCTTTCGTCCTATTGTTAGACTTTCCTCAGGTGTTCTTATTGCAAGGATCCAACTTTACGACGCTTTAACCACGTTTACGACGATTTAGAATACTAACACACCCTGCCTGCCATGTATGCACATTCTTGACCTCACGTTTTTGTCCTCCTCACCGCCCAGAAAGCCGACCTGGCCGCGGCCTCCCTCACCATCAGCTTCCAGCGCGAGAAGGACATCGACTTCACCAAGCCGTACCTGGACCTGGGTCTGACCTTCATCATGAGCCGGGAGAAGCGGGACGACGATCTCTTCAAGTTCCTGGAGCCGTTCGAGATCCGGCTGTGGATCTACATCGCCGTGGCTACCGTCGCCGTGGCGCTGTTCCTGGCACTGGTCAACAGACTCAGTCCTTATGACCATCGGGGAAGGTGAGGTGGTACCGTCTTTTATATTATACCCGGGCCGCAATAACGTTGTACATGTCAGACAAAATCTTGACACAAAAAGAAATAGATTTTGACAATCTTAATACTATGGGGCATAAGTCGGTTGATAGATGTCATTGGAGTGTTGGAATGGACACTTATCATGGGGCTTGGTTTTTAACTTGGGGTTGCGATCTGCACGTTCTAACGACCGGCATTGACTAGAAATTGCATTTATCTACTTTATAGAAGTTGTTTTTCTTAAAGGATGGTCATTATGGGTTCACCACACCACGAAGTGGTGTGGTGAAACCATATTGCTTTTTCTGATGTTTCTTCTCCTCCTCCTTCTCCTCCTCCTCCTGCCATATCTTTAAATGGATTCAGCTTCTTCTATTTTAGGGTCCTAAGGTCCTGAATTGGTATGGAGGTACAGTGGGCAAATACCCCTAGGCGTTTTTTAATTATTGTGATACATGCTTTTAGAATTGGTTTTATTTGTAGTTTTTTGGTCTGTGTTATAGCAAATGTATTACTGTGTTAGTCTGCCTTGTTTACCACGTTTGGGCATGAGTCATCAGAATGGAATGCAGGGCATCAACCAATAGGCATGCAGCTTTCCTCTATACTTCTTGCTGATTGGCTGTTGGGATTTAACTTGATTAACACCTGCACAGAAGCATTTCCATACTGACAGTATGTCTGTATTCAAGTGTTTTGGTAGGTATTTCAAGCTTTCCTGCTCCAGCATTGGAATGCCGGGCATGGACGTTTTTTATTATTTAGAAAATCAACAGTTTGCATTATGCAATTAAAAATCCTAACCAATAAAGTAGGGAATAGCTATCCAACTGTTGTTTTAGTTGTATTTTACTTCATATTATAGTTATATCAATGTAAATCATTGTTTTCCCTTGTGTTTCCCATTCTTTCCCTGCCATGTCGTAAAATGTGGTGAACCCATCGCTGTATTTGCTCCAAAGCAAATATTGGCCTTTCTAGTTATATAGAATTTTTACAAGAATTGAAATATTTCGATTTAAAAAATCTTATAATTTACTTCCACTTTTCCACATATTTTTGCAATTGTCTCACATTTCTGGTTGGCACTAAAAAAAGCCCATAGGAGGCGCATCACAAAATGCCACATGGCTAACAGTAGTCTTTTCAACATCTTAAAACGAAGTTTTGTATGAAAATTAGCATGCGGAAATTAGAATTGGGAAATAACTTATATAAACTGTTTTTAAGTTGTTGTTGTTTTTTGGGGGGGGGAGAATATGCAGCCAGCTCTGTAGCAGAGTGCTTTAAAGCCATGAAGGTCACTTACTAGTATATCCTGTGTCCAGGGCTGCCCGGAAGGGACAGGTTCTCCCGCCCATCGCCAGCCAGGAGCCGCCCAACCCCATGGGCGTGGCGAACGCCGTGTGGTTCTCCATCGCGTCACTCTTCCAACAGGGACCGGAGACGTACCCACACTCCCCTTCCGGTACATGGGCTTTTATATACCTTTAGCACTCTCATATATCTATGCATACAACTCCTAATTGTACTCTTTAGGATTATAGCATGGGGTAGCTTAGAAAATACGTGTAGAAGTGTACTAGCTCTTAGTTAGTTCTATTCAGCATTTTGCCAGACATAATATCGATTTAAAACTTTTTGTAGAATCTTGATAGACTCATACCAGCCATTAATATTATTATCTGCCATGCATTGTACCTGTTACAATCGTTGTGCAAGAAACTTGAACTTGACTTGACTGTAATATGTCACGGTAGAGAGTCCGATCTAATAGAATCAGCGATTATAAATGCCTGTAGAGATCCCGATCGGAGTCTTTGTTAACAGAATCTCCGATCGGGATCCCTACCGGGAGTTGCCGGGATAGTCAGAACTTTTGAACTTTCATTCATGTCACTTTAGATCAATGGATTGACTTGAAACTTCGGATTTGTAAGTGGGAGATTTCTAGCATCCTGATCGCTATTTCTGTTGACAGACACTCTGATTCGGATCTCTATCTACGAGATCTGAGTTCCTACTCGATTGTAACACTATATCACAGACAGAGACGCGCTAGCCTTCGTTGTTTGAGCAAGTAGGATTTATTAGGTCTTATTCTATACTTCTTTTTTTGCACTTTTGTTCATTTGTTGTTGCCATACTTTGTACCATGTGCAATTGTCGTGCAATAAAGTTCTTCATAACCGTGAATCTGACACAATCTGTCCCCGCAGGCCGGATCACGGCGTCCTTGTGGTGGTTCGTGGTGGTCATCATCATCGCGACCTACACGGCCAAACTGGCGGCCTTCCTCACCATCAGCCGCATGGACCATCCCATCAACTCGGTAGAAGCCTTGGCCAACCAGGTAAGGGGCACGGCTCAGAATGCCTTTGCAAAGTGCCTTTTAGGTAGCAAGCTAACTTCGGTTGGGGAAAGTCGTATTGAGGTCACCTGGTGGCGCCGAATGGCAGCCGCACAGACAGTGAGTGTTGTTCAACAAAAGTGTGTTCGAAGCAAATATGTTATATGTATCATGCATATGTGTATTATGTGACGTAAAAAAGGCTGCGATTCCACAGGTAATGTTTGACCAATAACCAAGCATTTCTTGTGGTTAGACTTATTGACTCAAAATCTGGGTTCGAATCCCTAGCGTGCCCCAGTGTTTTGTCCTTGGGAAAGGCACCTTACACCTATTTCCTCACTTGACTCAGGTGTAAATGAGTACATGTACCTAGCTTAGATTAGGGACGTCCTCTCAGATAGAACGTAAAGCCAGAGGTCCCGTGTTTAAGGAGAGCCACACCTTGAGCATGATAAAGATCCCACCACACTTACAGAAAAGAGCAGGGGCCCTTCCCAGTGTGATCAGTGGTACAAACTTTACAATCTGGTCTCAGGATTGACATTTTGAAGAGGTGATAGTCACCTGTTATGCCAATCCTTCCACAAATGTGGTAAGTTTTAATAGATGAAAAGAAAAATCCATACCAAAATGCATTTTATCCTGAAAGACGCTTTAAAATTAGTTATAAAATAGTTCAAATAGATATAACATCACAGCACACCATACGCAATCTTTATTCTATTTTCACCCGAGAATAAAATGCTTTTTTACTCGCTATAAATTTTGTCATAAATCATTTGTACATATGCATTTTTCATATCTATCTCGAATTCACTTAAAGTAACATATATGCCATTGGCCGGCCTTGAGTTTGGGGATGACGTCAGGGCGACACTTTCTCGAGAACCGATCAACAAAATCCTTTCATAAGCTCTACTCAAACCCTCCATGCGTCCATGTTTAGAGATTTAACGCAGCGTGCTTTATGCGATCGGCGGTAAAACTACACCACATAAAACAAGGGAAAGGCAAGGACGGACCATATATGATCCACGTAAAACGCTTAGAACGGGGCTGTCAGGACATGTGCTGAAATCATGTAACACTAAGTACTAAGCTCCCGGCGTTAGGAGCGGTAATACATTGTCAAATGTTGATCAAGTAAAAAAAATTACGCTCAAGTCCTAGGTATAATCAAGGACATTATAGTGAGATTATAGACTCTATATAATGTCCTTGGTATGACATGATCAGGGAAGTTCGTATTTTTCTTACCTGTGAATGTAGGAAAAACGTCGGTTCCCAGGTCGGATCGCCAAAGTTTTATGCTAGACATTGAAAACATGTAAAACGTCTTGTTGCAAGGCTCTGTTTTGCGTGTCACGGGCTTCAGACTACATTATTTCATATCCATGTGAATGGTTTAGAGTTGACTAAGTGTTTGACTTACCTTACAGTTTGCTTCGTCATTTTGTACGCCCATCGCCGGCAGGTATACAGGCTTTTCACATCCACCATGTTGGATCACAGTGTATGTCTGTTGCTGTAATCAACTTACCCGCCAACACCTGGTCGCCGAGATTCATATGATAATTATCATGACGTCAATGAAAAGCCCCCATTGGTCGACTCGTTTGCCAGTCACTGATTTGAAACAACGCCTGTGATTGGCTATTGAGTAAGCTGCCGCAAAACTTTAGGCCTGATATTCATGAGAGAGATAACAGCCGAGCATGATAGAATTATGTCAGCCTCAAGCGTACAAAGTTGAACATATATGATTAAATGTTATTTGTCTGACTATTCCTAAACAAAGTTGCGTTTTCTGTGTGGATTTATTAGGACTGTAAATGATGTAAACTGTATCTTTCTTACTAGTGTATATTTTGTGTAACCCTTACCTCTTTCTGCATGGCCTCAATGAAAAAGCGGAAAGACAGAATGGCCCAAACAAACAAACAAACAAACAAAACTAGGTAACATTTGCAAAGCAAATATTTAATGTTTTCCTTTGCATATAGTCAGACAGGAGTCTAAATCCGTCCTGCTATAAAATTGCAACATGATGTAGCCTAACACTAGTTACCATGGTAACAGGCAGCCTGGTTCAGGTCATTGACCTAATTTGTTTGGAGAGAAGAGGAAGAAGAAACAGAGCAAAAACAAGATGTTGTCCTTCGGTAAACATACTAGTAATAACCGCTCTCCCACCACGCCCTGCTACAGGTAGACGTGGCTTACGGCACTGTGTCCAACTCTCAACCCGCCGACTTCTTCCGCTCGTCCAGCGTCAAGACGTTTCAGACCATGGCTGAGTTCATCGCCACCAACGATCTCTACTTGGACTCCTCCGCTGAAGGAATCGAAAAGTCCAGAAAGGTGCAGGAAGTAACAAGAATTTGAAGATCTCATACCTCCATTGAATATAATATTTAGAGCTTTTGTAAATGTTTGTTCTTTTTATCTGTGTCATTGATTATGGAAATAATGTTGTAGTTAGCAAAATCTACTTTAATCTATGGTTTTCATAACATAAATTAATTAAATAAATTGCATACATTTTGTGTGTGAATGTCCTTTTTCATCAGTTGGAAACAACCTGGCTTTTTTGGGGTACAGAAACTCATAGGGAAACAGAGTTTGACTGGTGTCAACATACTAGCCTGTGATTGCATGATATTGATGACAGCTTTCTTATACTCCTCAGCTGTGAGCTAGCTGCGGAAACACATACAGACACACACACAGGCAAATCAAAAACGTTACTTCCATGAAGAATTACAAGTACTGACTTGCCTTTGTTCATTAGGATCCAAGGATCTTTCATGTCTTCTAACTCTCCTATCTTTTCTTATTTGTCATTTTTTACAACTATCTTTTATTAGCTGTTACGTTAAATCTTTCATAAAATTACTGAAAGCTTTAAATTATATTCCTGAAATTCTATCTCTCCTCTTTTTCTCCATTCCCCAGGAAAAGTTTGCCTTCATCTGGGACAGTGCCGTGCTGGATTACGTGGCTAACCGCGCCCCTTGCGACCTGAAGACGGTGGGCAGGCTGTTCGGGAAGATCGGGTACGGCTTCGGGCTGCAGAAAAGCTCCCCCTACACCGACCAGCTGTCCGTCAACATCCTGCGGCTCAGGGAGTCCGGCTTCATAGACGCCCTGACGGAGAAGTGGTGGGTAGGGAAGTTTGTAGGTGGAAAAACTTGCGGTTAGGGTTGTTGATTCAGAATCCGAAGGTTCTGAGTTCGAATCCCTTGCAGTTAGCCCTATTGACCATGAATTTGCAATAAGCTTTCCCATCATTGTCCTCCAGCATCTTCTCCTCAGCATGCCCCGAAGCTTCCAACATTTATTACAAGGCATGGTGACGACACACTCAAGTTTTCTTTCAAGTTATTTTTATGCCGCCACCAACGCAGACAAACGCGTACGCATGAACGGACAACATACATACACATTTTCACCTGAAAAGTGAGGAATTTCGTTTAAAGTGCCTTTCCTAAGGGCACAAGATCTGTAGCATGTCAGGATTCGAACTCGAGACCTCTTGGTTTGGAGCCGAACGTTCTGTCGTCACGACCCCCTCCACATTACTTGATATAAGCCCCACGTAATGGCAAGCTGCTTGTATTTGCAGGTATCATGACGGGAGCTGTGAGCCCGATGAGAACGTGGTTGAGGAAGTGCAGGGCACCATCGTGGTGGGGCACATGCTGGGCGTGTTCTACGTCATCTACGGCGGCATGGCCGTGAGTCTGGTGGTCCTGGTGGGGGAGTGGGTGGCCTGCGTGCTCAGTCAGAAAAGACACCAGGAAAAGGTCGGCATTCTTTGTTAAAGACATCCAATGTGATTTCAGAGTAGTAAAACTGGAAATATTATTAATAAGGCAATCTTAATGATATCGACTGCTTCACATTAGCACATTTCAGTCAGTATGTCATACTTTGGGTATTTAAAACTGCAGAAACAAGCCCCAAGATGAGTCCTTTATTTTATAGATGGTACCCTAAAAATCAGCCCAAGGCCCTTACAGTAACCATTTTCCGTCAGAATTTTGGGTATATTTACTCCATGAGGGTCAATATTCATTGGAATAGCGTGGTTTCATTGACCTACTAGAATATTGACTTTCCAAGCCCTAAAACTGCATTTAAATTCTAATCTCCAAGCAGATCTTTTGGTGGCTGCAAATACTATGGCTGTGTGAACACTATCGCTTTATTTCCACAGATGTCTCTCCCTCAAATCTTCCACGCCCAGTTTAAGAAGGTATGGCGGGGTAGGAAGGCGCTGAGCACTTCTCACCCGAGACATGACGGACAGCCGTGCGACGCCAGGAAGCTGGGCTGCATGCACTGCTGCGTCCTGGACCCCAAGGGCGCCAACTTCAAGTGCGTCTGTGTCAAGGAGCAGGAGAAAGATCGCAGCCCCAAGAAGGAGATAGTCCTGGAAGTGATGGCCCCAAACGGCGGGACCGATAGTGGAAAGGGAGCGACATCCCAATGACTGGAGCTTAACACTAGCCACGAAAGGCGACCTACATGTACATGGTCTCCTTCTTTCCAGGGAAGCTAACGAACACGCAGTATCTACTTAGTGGATTCATTCCTTAAGCTAACCGATATCTAGCACATCGCAGCAGCCTACCCCATTGCGGTATGGACAGGAAAGGTATGAAAGTCAGAACTTTGTGAACGTGTGCCATTTAGTCTCTGTACACTTGAAGAAGCCCACATGGTAAAACCGGTCATGACAGGATGAATAAATGTTCTTTACGGGAACTATATGGCTCCAGATGTCTTTCTGTGGGACGACTGTGGTGTGCTAGATGTCGGTTAGCTTGAGGAATGAATCCACTCTACTATACACTGAACACGCAGTATCTAGCAATATCTCCGTCTCATAAACATTTGACTATCCTCTGGAATGTGGTAGTATTGGTGAGACTTCGTTGTTTTAAACATCTCTATTGTGAAAACGTAATTAAAAATCCAGAAGGGTCAACATTTCAATACGGATCTGTCATTTTTAACGGGAAATCTGCGATGCAACCGTTCACGTTTTGACCACTGCAGGTTCTAAGGCTGCTACGTGAGGCTTCTCGGTCATCTGTTTGATCCGTTGCTTATAGATATGATGTAAATATGAATATATATAAAGATCGATATGTGAAGGCAAACGCTGAAATAAACCCGCCTATTGAAAAAATGCTCCAAAGTCTTGTCCAGATACCACGAAAACCGAAATAAAAACCTGTTTTACTACAAAGCAGAAACCAGAAACTAATCTATTCGAGCCCAATTACTGGCAAACCCCGTTCACGTGCACGGTGCATGTCTACTCAACTTCTAGCCAATCACAGCCCTCCGATTGTAGCAATGTTCTCGTGCTCTAATACTGAGTCAGACGACATTTTGGTCGTTTCAGGAGTAAAACCGTTGTCGAACGAACTTTCAGATTTTAAGCACTGTTCTTGTCTTTAGAGCCTTCCAAGATATGACATGACAAAGAACACGCATAGAGACGTTTAAAACGGATCATTATGCTAAAAAAAACATCGTCCCTTTTGCCTGAAACCTCCATCATTAGTACAGTCCACATGACAATCAAGAGCCGCGTTATGTCTTCAGAACAATATTGTATGCGGCTCATCACATATTGAAAGCAATATCGTGTGGCTCAAAGCCCATAACACGAGAGCTGACTTAAAACTTTACCAATGTCACAACTATCTCAACAATAATTAGACAGTAGAGTAGGACTTTAACGTTTTTCATCCTATATATATACATATAACGTTATATATATAAAAAGAGAGACCAAATATACAAATAATAGAGATACAGAGCACTGCACCTTGTGGTTGTTGGACGTGTGTGAAAAATCACCTGTACACTCCCTACACCCCTCAGATATAGCCTGCCTCTGTGTAATGTATAAATCATGACTAGAAAACTACTGTACAAACCATAGGAATTAGGCACGATGATCAATGTATTCATCGTTTACAACATAAAAATGCCAGAAGAGTCTATTGCAACAGATTTACAAAAAAAGTGACCCGCCCAATATATGACAAACTTTGGTTTCATTAGCATGTATTGTTTGACTAGTGCCAAATCGCACGAACGTAAGAAACTTAGAGAGACCATTATGTGCACCTTATCACATAACGTAGAGTTAAGGAGTATCTATTATGCCGATTGCCTATATTCTGTATCTGTATAGCCGTTATAACCGCCCTTCGGCGCAACACACCAGCTTCTGTATCTGTATAGCCAGTAGAACCGCCCTTCTGCGTAACACACCAGCTTCTGTATCAATATCTGTATAGCCGATAGAACCACCCTTCTTCGTAACACCAGCTTCTGTATCTGTATAGCCGGTATAACCGCCCTTTGGCGTAACACACCAGCTTCGCAGGCACGCGGCGCGGCGGCAGCTGGCTACATCATATCGAACGACTTGTTACACCTAAGCCTTTGCACATCTATGAACATTGTTAAAAGCTATCTTGTGATGATGTCCCTACTGTACTTGTGGCAGCGATTTCCACATGTACTCGTATCTATGATCAACATAAGTTTTTGAATACCTCAGTCCTTGGTTGATAACTTTGGTACTTGAATGAAAGCATGATTATTTCTTGTGATAGAACATGAAAAAGTCTTCGAAGTGGTTATTATGTTAGTTGATATCTTTGTTATCAGTTTGTTTCCACTACCCATGGCAGTTAAAGCTGGCAACTTGTTCTACACGGAGATGTTGGTACATGTACATGTAAGCGAACTATACTTTGAGAAGAAATACACAGCGTGCGATTCTTCACTGCACGCGGTGTAAGCACATACATACGCACCTACGAAGCACTGCGCACTATGGATGTAACAAGGTGTATGTAGAAAGATTACACGTATGTGCAATGCTGTGACGTGTTGTAGGTTAATACTCTCAATATCAAATGTAAGTAAAGATGATGTCTATTATAGGAATGTGGTATTTCAAAATGCTATACCACAAAAATGGATATTATCGGGTACCGTCTAACAAATTCTAATTTGACTTCTTTTTTCATAATTCTGTCTGTCTTTGCACTATGCAATGTCAAGAGTCTGCAATATATTGTAATGCTGCTATATATGCTGTCAAGAACTACTTTTATTGAAGTATGGTAAGTTGTGTAGGCACAAAGCAATAAGCAGAGGTATATAAACCTGTGTTAGGGTTTTTACCTCTAGGGCCATGCTGGTTTGATTATATGGTTGACATCCACACACGCATGAATTTTCATCTGTTTCTAAAAAAAAGGTTTTAGACCATACTGTAAATCGTACAAACCAGCTGCAAAATGAGCAAATATATGCCGTAAATTGCAAAAAAATATTGGGCAATGACACTGATGTTGTAGGATGCCAAAATCGATTCTGGAAAAGAAGAAAGGAAGAGTCTATTATTCACCATACCATACTCTGCGTTTGTTCAACCTTCATGACCACATAGATTTCATAATGAAAGCATCTTTTTTTGTCACCTTTTTTTACTTGCACGCTCACATCATCAGTTTTGAGGTTCCCAGAGGACGTCATCCATTTAATCAAATCAACATGGCCTAGTTGTATTCTATGTAAACTTGAAGTCATATCATCATCATAGTAAAGTATATGTTTTGTTGTTGAACGTATGACTGTGAGTGACGTATGTAGCATCATAGTTATATGTTGTATGCACTGTATACCCAAGCTGCTATATACTAGTATATCTTATTTCTACAGGAAAGACTATACACAGGCCATGGCTTATTAAAAAGATTTCCATAACTTGTTATCACCTTAGCCAAATGCCCATAAATAAATTAAAAAATGTAGAATTCACATACTAGTTGTAACCTTCCCAAAACCTGGATGTTGAAAAAAAAACACATGAAGCAAGCATGGCAGATGGAATGACTGTAGAGGAAACAAAATGATCAAAACTTGAAATTGGCTAACTACAGACCTGACCAGCTATGCCAGAAATATTATATTAATATTGCTATGAATACACCACTGTAACAGAAGATTCGTGTTTTGTGTACCCGTTGCACTTGTAAGTATTGAACTAGCTACACATGTAGAAATATGATAATTTCCATTCATTAAATAGTATTGTTTTAAGACAATACCATTGCGTATGTTTTCTGCTTTTACAGAATTTTATACCATGCACCAACCAATTGAATTTTAGAAATTAAAAAAATACATCACAAGGTGAAATATTCTTTTAACCATACCATATTAAGTTAACAGTAAAATATATTTTCCACTATATATCTGTAAGATCAAGCTCCCTTATTTCCACAAAAATCAGACAAAGTCTCAACTTACCCTGCACTAAACCTGAAGGAACTCATTGAGCACTAAAATCTTCACAAAACAACTATTTGTGTCATAATGCTAAATTATCATAATAAAGTTGTTGATGACTTGCTCACTATCTTAATATAAATAGTAAATAGATAGTAAATCAATACAATATTTCTCACCTTATTTATACCTAGTGCCAGTAGCTAAATGCCCTGGAAATGGTTAGTCTTTTGTCTCAAAGTTGGGTTCTGTACAACAATATCTATGATAATAGGACAGTGGGAATTCCCATGTTTCACATTGATTGGTGTATAAATTGACATAAATGTAGTATAGGGAAATTGGAATTTCACATACTGTCGTATGCATACAATTTACAGTTTCAAAGTAACTGAAAAAGTTTCACTATACTAAGTGTGCAAAGGTTGGACGAAAATATACAGCTGCCCTAAAAAGTGAACTGAGAGGTATGTAAAACGAATGTCTTGTAGAGTTGTAACAACAGGTAAGGAATTTTACTCAGTTGTGACCGTCTCACAGTGAGCCAACTCTTCACTTTTATTTCATTCACACTTATCAAATATTTATTAAAAACATCTGTGAAGTATAGACCCGATTGGGCTTATTTGGGCCACATTATACACTCAAGCTAGAAAATAAATGCTATAAAATATCTGATATAACCTTTCCAATTGACTACAAGCTACAGTACCAAGTAGATGCCAAGATATATCACTTTTGTAGATTTTGGAAAATTCACCATGATGGTTGATTTGGGCTAGGGAATGATTTCTTAAATTGCATATGGCTTCCTAAATCTTTATTATGTCATTGAAAACTATCTGTGGTCAACAGCATATAAAGTCTAGACTACTGTACGTTGTAATTATTGCTTTAATTGTACATTTATTGCGTCACTTTGAAATGATGCCTCTTACATTTGACAGCCACATAAAATCATAACTACCTAGTACCTATGCCTCTATTTCTGCCAACACCTAACAGTAAACAAGTTAAAATGACATGCATAGATCTTCCCACAGTAGGGGATGTCTAAAGAGTATTCAAATTACGTCTCACACAATTGACAAATTAGCCAGACCTGATCTACACTCGCTACAACTTTTGGCATGATTGCAGAGCATATTTACAGCGCTAGCTTCTACTTAATGTATGTAAGTTAAGCCCATGTCACATATAGCAGAACATGTCCTCCCGAACACTAGCCAAACTCCCCCCAACCATGGTTAGGAGTAGGTCAGAGCAAGGTCGGCTGCGCCAGCCAGATGTTTCAAGATGTTTGAAACATTCGAGATTGGATGGGAGGTTCAGCCACGGTTAGGTGGTGTTCAGACATAGGTTGGGGCATGGTTGGCAGTCAAATTTGACACACATGTGACCCAAATTCGATTTGTATAGAAAGGTAAGTATGACCTAAATCTGGTCAGACTGCTCCCAAACTTCAGCCTTGGTCGACTGGTGTTTGGGGGAAGGTTCTGAATGTGTGACAGGGGCTTCAGCCAACCTTGGTCGGCTGGTGTTTGGGGGAAGGTTCTGAATGTGTGACAGGAGCTTCAGCCAACCTTGGTCGGCTGGTGTTCGGGGAAGTTCTGAATGTGTGACAGGGGCTTCAGCCAACCTTGGTCGACTGGTGTTTGGGGGAAGGTTCTGAATGTGTGACAGGAGCTTCAGCCAACCTTGGTCGGCTGGTGTTCGGGGGAAGGTTCTGAATGTGTGACAGGAGCTTCAGCCAACCTTGGTCGACTGGTGTTTGGGGGAAGGTTCTGAATGTGTGACAGGGGCTTTTCACTCACAGACAGCACTGTACACTACACACTAGACAATTCTACATGATTGTACATTTTACTTGCCATAAAGAATAAATAATATTTACCTCTGCTGAGGATTTACTCTACTTTCTGCTGCTTTTCTGGCATTGCACTGATACTCACACTACCCTCTTTTCTCTCACTGTGTCCGCTGCCTTTTGATTTGTCTTGTTTAACCTTTTGTTCTTTCTTCTGTTCTGTAGACTGTGTTGACGGTGTCTTGGAGCTGGATTTTGTTTTCTCCTTGTCCTGACTTTTGTCTGGGCTGGCTTTGTCTTCAGCGATGAGGGAATTCTGTCGTCTCAAGAATTCCAATTTCTGCCAGGGAACAAAGACATGCTTTATAAAAATGGCACTATATGGTGAATAAAACAAGTCTTCCAAACAAATCCTGTGCCTCAAATAATGATATACCAGTAGCCAAACTAAGATGACCACCCAGGGGACAGGGGAAAAGTGGTCTTCTTAATATACAAAAGCATGGCGACAAAACTGCACCAAAATTTACACTCCTTTTTCTGCACCATTGATTCAAAGTGACCCAGCTGGCACCATTTTACCTGATGTGAAAACTATTGTGCTGTTGATGTCAGTGGCAAACCGTGCCATCCAGTCAAGTTTTCTCGCTAGATATAAACAAAAATTTCCACCGCACATTTGAAAATGATGCAAGTGTCTGGCTTTGTCCCCTTTAATTCTCACGTCTATGGGGGAAAAACGAGACCAAGAAAAAATGGCCGTTATGGCCAGTTGGTTGGCTTATACATGTAGAGGTGGTTGCTTGAGCAAGTTTGACTGTACCTACACAACGATGTGACAAATGTTCCAACTAGTATAGAGACACAAAATTGCTTTATCTTTGTCTAGCCTCTCCTTTTCCAGAAACATCTGATACTGACAGTATATATGAAACTTTATCAAATTAAGTCTCAATAAAATAAACACTGCCATGACTTTAATATTACGTTAGTTTACACTACTGCCTGTAGAGCATGAAACCCACCTTGTGTGCTTGTCTTCTCTTGAATTCCACCTTTGCCATCTCCTTCTCCACCCACTCAGGGATGTCTGGGATGGCGTAACTCAGGATGAACTTCAGGGCAATCAGGGCATGCTGAATATTGGCAACATGAGAAGGAATATAAAATTTACTACTTCTAATGAATAGGAGGTTACTACTAACTAGAAACTTTAAGGTAACATTTGCTGAGCAAATGCATAATGTTCACCTTCGTATATGGTCTGCTCTGTTAATTCTTACTCAAATGTATTCATACATGTATATATGGTGACAAAATCCCTCTAAATCCCTCCTGCTATAAAATTGCAACATGATGTAACTCAACACTAGTTACCATGGTGACAGACATCTGGATCAGGTTGTTGACCTTATTAGTTTGGAATGGACGAAGAGGAAACAGAGCAAAAACGATATGTTTTCCTTTGGTAAACAGAATTAAAACATAAGTGGCATTACGTAGTGTGATGGTCAGAGCGTTCTGCTCTGACAGATTTTACCTGCACCACTCATAATTTAGGAAGCTTGGATCATACTGATCAGAAACCATTGGCATCATTTCTTTTATGCTTCATTCAAAATGTAGGTGGTAATAGCCAATAGACAAATAAAAAATCCACATATGCCTTTATAAACCCAGTACACGTGCCAGTACAAGTAAGACATCAGAAATATCTGCACAGCTCCAATTTTACCTGCACTAACCTGCATGTGCAGGTGGTATTTTGAGCCCTGGAGACATAATTGATAATCTATCTAAAAGTACAGCATTGTGGCTGAGGTTTCTTCCCACAAAAAGGCAATTATATCACAATGGAACAGCAGTGCAGTCACTGGAACACTCATGATAATCACAACCCAAAAATCAGCACCAAGGAAAGGAACAATGTTTGTATGTACTAACAATACAGGCTACCGTCTCCAGTTTATGCATCATGTAAATGTTTTAAAATAACCAGAAATGTCCACAGTTGTGGTCCATTTTCTTGTGAACAATACATGCACTGGAAACTGCTTTCCATACAGGCAAATCTTTTGATGAGAATGAAGTTACTTTAGTGCAATCTCAAGATATGAGCTAGGTACATTGATGAAGTTATTGAGATACACAAGGAAATTGTTCAAGCAACTGGATAGGTTTTGGAAACTGTCAGACATACTTAGTAGCATCCACTACTTTTCCCCAGTGAGCATGTCTGAGGCAGGTAAATTATAATTTTGATGTCAGAAGAAATGAACCCTGTTCATGATAATTCAGAGTAACTTATTCCACTTTTTAGCATATAAAACTACAGTAACTGTTTACTGCACCTCCACAACCACAGCCATGATGATGAGTTGTGTGGTGCTGAGACCGGGGAACATGTGCTGCATCTGTCCTGACATCACAAGCAGGGCACAGTTCACAATAACAGCCAGCATCCCCATAACCTCCATCACATCCTGGAGAAACATAGCAAAACAGTTCACAACAAGAACGCAGAGATCTTAGGCCTCTGTGAAATATTTAGACCTTGTGTGATGGTGACTGTGTCCCATTTACCATGATGTCTTTCTTTACATTACATGGGAAAAAACACAAGCTGTTAGATGTCAAGGAGGTCATGTAATAAAAATGAACTGTGAAAATAGCAAGAACTGTCAGATGTAGACGTGATTAATGACTTCCTCCCTCTGGGACAGACTTAACCCAAGCATATCCATTGCAACCTACAACTTACAATTAAGGGCCATGCGGAAACACTGACACACACATGGACACACACACACACACACACACACACAAACACACACACAGACATTCCAAAAACAATACCTCCATTCTTCTTGGAGGTAATAACAGATCTTACAATATCAAGTTCTATTACAGGTTACAGTGTTTTGTCACCAACCAAACAAAGAGAACAAATTGAATGCTAAAACTGACCTGCCACATCCCAATGTTCTCGACCCGCTGCCCGAATGGCCGTTGACTAGTGCAGAGTTTGAAGGCGTCTGACCTGATCTCGATGACGTTGTTGAGCAGAGCACACATGGCTGCGCAGGGGAAGGCAGGGGAGAACAGCACCACGTACCCAAACTGGATAAACATCTCCAGGTAGTCTTCAAATGTATCCTGAAAATAGGTTTCGATGAGTGACGGGGGTGCATTTTTGTACAACACTCCTTTGAAATACTTGAAATACATAAGTTGTAAAATATAAACAAATTTCTTAAATTTTTCCCAAGCTCATTAAGTATGCAAACATCGTCTTATTATGTCAAACATCACACACATCCTCCGACCATACCATAGGAAAATGCCAGGTGAACCATTTTCAAAGTTGACCTTTGTTTCCACAACTGCTAGTCACCTACCAAATATCATGAAGATCCATCCACAGCTTCTCAAGTTATGCTGTTGACATACAATGTACATCATACAGTACCTACTGACCCTGACCACAGCCACTCCACGATGGCAAAACCAAAAACATAACCATCTTGTCGAAAGTAACAAGCTACATAGCATGAAATGACATAATTGATACAAGATGAATTCTGCAAATCTACCTAATGTCACATCTAATTCAAAATATATCATTGGCAATATTTACCATATAAGGCTGCATACAGCTTTCCACCTCAGCCTGAGTAAACCCCTTCCCATGCTTAACTGCATCTGGGGACTCGTCTATTATCTCTTCTTCTGTTTCATCATCATTCCCATCCTCTGTCTCCTCCTCCCCCTCTGGTTCTTCTGCTTTTTCTGACGTTGATGATTCGGTGTTCTCTTCTTCAGTGGATCCCTCAGTCAAGGTGCTTTCAGTGCTCTCAGAGGCTGTAAATTGAAATGGTATTTGCTTTCATGTTAACTGATCATGCCTAGGAATAAAAAAAACCAAGACCCTTTCGACCTTGGTGAAATCCAGGTTTACAAATGACGGTGGAAGGCCAACAGTGAAATAAATTAAATCCAGAATTGCATTTTAGATGCTAATTCTTTCTTTTCTAGGGCAAAATCAAGTACTTGGTATGGTGTTAGATATGATGCATTTCAATGTTATCTTAACTATATTTGATGGATCACTTTGACCAAAATGATCCCTACCTACCGACCCTAATTTTTCAGGGCCGTAATAAGAAAAACAACATCAATCTTGAAATTACTAGGTTTTAGGTGATGTAAACAGTTCCAAATCACAGTTCCAAGTCCTATTGAAAATTGCGTCTATGACAACAAATAATAATTTAGTAAAAAAACATCCTCACTACAAAAAAAATTGCCACCAACCTTGGAATTCCCCACTGGCCCTTTCCTTCATCTTGGAGTGCGCCATCTTGAAGAGCATGCCCTTCCCCCACAGGTAAGGAACAAGGGCCTCCTTAAAGTTCCCCACCACCTGTCTGGTGATCAGCAGGGCAGCCAGTTGCTGCAGGAACAGAACAGAGCATCAGCTAGGTAATTCTGTACTCAACAAGCAAACGTTGACACAAGTAAACTACTGATACAATAAAAGATACTTACAATGTCGATTACTGATATTCCTGTGACAAATGGTTTCTTTTAATAGTTCCATTGGTGATTATTGCATGATGAATTTGTAATACAAGACATCTTCTGTCATGTCAGATTTTTAAACAAAAATGGTGCATGGCAATTGTAAAGTGTGATGATCTTACCTCCTCCAACCTGGTCATATCTTGTAAGTAGAAACCGATGTAGAACAGGGACAGGAAAGAATTCACAAACTGGAACTGTAAAGACAGGGAACCTTTCTTAAACATACGTACTGTGTTTGACAGGTCAATTATGCCAGGAAAATATCAAATCAGATTAATTGACAGAGACACATGTAGTGACTGTCGTTAGTTATGAAATTAATACACTGTGATGTCACAGATGCTTTATTGATACCATATTAAGCATGATCATAATTTGCTTAGTTTTGTTTAGTAAGGTGAGATGGACTTACCAAGACTAACTTGATAATGAGATGATTCTCATATGTGCTCTGTAACCGGTAGTTTTCTGCACAATGTGATAGAGGACAGGTCAGTGACAAACCTAAAATCTATTACATTGTAATTCAAAATGATGATGATATTTGGCTATACAGTAACAAGGTGTTGACAAAGATACAAATGACCATCTAGTACTTTAGAATGGTTAATGATTCTCAGCAATAATGTACAAATGTAAGAAGAGGCCTAAAATATAACCCTAGAAACTACTTCCAAGAGACTTTGCACATGGTTATTTTGTGCAACATGAGGGTTGGAGGTATTGTTTTTGGCATGCTTGTGTCACTGTGTGTGTATGTCTGTGTGTGTGTGTGTGTGTGTTTCTGCAAGGCCCTTAGGTCAGGCTGTAATGGATATTGTTGGATTCTGTCTGTCCAAGAGGGTCAGAAAGTCATTAATCACTTCATCTACATCTGGTAACACTTGTTGCCTACACAAGTTTTTGTTACATGACCTCCTTGACAGCTGACGCCGATTCCCTTGCACAGTAAACAAAGACTTGTAGACACCATGGTGAACGAGGACACAGTCACCGTCACATAATGATATTTAGATCTGGAATGTGTAAAGGTGACTGTGTCCTCTTCAAGGAGGTCTGAGATCTCTGAATTCATGTTTCTGACTTGAACATGCATGTACAATCGTGTACCTTTGTCGTTGAGCCAAATGGCTATCCTCTTGTAGACCTCATCCATCACCATGACGACCAGAGACAGCAGCACCTTGGGGAGGAACCTGGTGACAGCCGAGACGTCCTCTCCCTGGTTCACCACCTCCTGCAGCTCAAAGCAGGCCAGCATGCTGCAGAACACCACCAGCAGACACAGCACCACCGCGGGGACACTCACAAAACAGTAGAACAGGTTTCTCTTCCAGGACGGGTAGGTGATCTCAGGACGGCCTGTCACCTCGCTGCTAGTCAAGCTTCCCTGTGAAACAAGCAAACGTGCATCGCAACAACATTGAGACATGTTACAAAATATCACGAAGCATTTTAGATTTCTACGTGAAGCCATACTGCGAGTTTGTAACTTACGTTTAGCAAGCAGTAACGTTAACCCACACAAATTTGATCAATTGGTTCTCGGACCTTTCTCATTTTGTGAAAAAAAAAAAAGAATTCAGGTTCTGAATCAACTGCAATCTCCAACTCCATTAAGAGTTTACAAAAAGCCCCTGTCTTCCTAGTTGTTACAAACAGTTTCTCTATCTACTGGTTTGATGAAAATTTAAAGGTTAAAATTTATTGTTTCGATTATAAATAAGCCTCGGGTATTTTGACTTCATGGGCTATCATGGCGTTTGGGGCCAATAATCATAGGATACATGTATTTTTTTCCCTGCTGCTTCATTTCTTTTTCTGAAAAAATCTGAGAACCAACAAATCAAATTGGTTAGTCCTTAGTTTACAATCATGGTGCACACCAATAACATGCCAGTGATGGGAGATTCCATTCCAAAACTGCTCACAGACATACTAATAAATTTAATGTAAAGCCAGACCCATGATATGACAAGCATTCTTGTGTCTGTACCCCCTGTTAGTATAGTTGGTTAACCTGCATGCACTCACTGCTAGTGAAACAACTTACTTTCACAACATCTCCCTTGTAGGTCACAATGAAAGCCAAGGCAGGGAAAGACGCAAAGAACATGTCTACATGAAGTAAAGCTAGCTCGCTACTGCAGGCATTAACATACAATACATTCAACATTGGTACAGCTACATGAATGAAAAATAAAGAGGCAGGGAACACAGTATTAATACTGTGTGATTTTTAGAGAAAAATCAAGGGAAGGCAGCAGTATCCTTGCCCATTTGGCTTCTCAATGGCAGAGCAAATCAAACATTTTTTTCTGTGTTTACTCTTGACTCACTATCAACTTCGGTAAAGGGAAGAGATTTTTAACAATTCACTTAAGCCCAGAGGCCAACCTAGTGTACCTACATGTAGTACAAAAAACCTTAATGGCAATTGTTGATATGTTGAAAGAGATTGGAAATGGACAAAAATCCTGCCCGTATATGAAACAAAAGGAACAATGGAAAACAATACATTTTCATCCATACCTATGGTATGGAGTGAAATATTATAGCCTGGTTACCAGACCTATTTTAGCTCCAGAGTCTGTATCCTTTCCACAAATCTATTTTGAAGAGAAGGATAAAGACTTGGGAGCTAAAACAGGTCTGGTAACCAGGCTAGAAATATAAAGAAAGAAGAGAGGAAAGAGGAGAAATAGGAAAATTACATTATAGAAACAGAGAACAGGTTATATGAGAAAGGATTAGGATAAAGATTATTAATTGAAGGATAATGGTTTAAAAAGGAAGGTTTCTACACTATTTTTCTGTACTAAGACAGCATCCAGGAGGACCTCATGCAGGTTAAGACACCTTGAAGAGTGGGCGTGGCTCCTGTAGTAAGGAGGAAGGCATGTCCAGAGTTCCCCACTTGTAGGCGTGGACGGCTGACCTTCTCTTCCAGCCTTCCAAGTACAGGGTGGCCCAGATCACGTTGAACATAGCAAACACATGGAACACTACACCGTCTCGCTTCTGTGGACAAATGGGGAAGACGAATTCACATTATGTAATGGTAAAGTTCTAACTTTGTTCCAACAAAAAGAGAACTCAACATGAATTTTCAAATAACTCATCAACCTTTGTTAGTGGATCATTCATCTCATGAAGGTAGAAAATTCATGGTGAGTTGTAAACCTTATAATGATTATGGATTTTAGCAACAAAGATGAGCGTAAATTTGAGTTCACGTTACGTATGACATTTCATGAAATTGCTATTGATGACAAATTTAGACTATGACTTAAAATACATTATCATCACTTTGATTGTAAAGAATGACTTCACCGTAAAACAAATTTCATGATTTTAACAGCATGCTATCTGTATACTTGACATCTTACATCTTATCAAAAAACATGAAAATTCTGATCCAAATTTACCATCATTGGCTTGATAAACAGGAATCAAAACTAGACAGCAAATGCATAGTGTTTACCTTCACATAGTCTGACCTTAATAATATATAAACTAATTGCACAGGGTGTCTATCTGCTACAGCACCGGTTACCATGGTGACAAACATCTCGTCCAAGTCATTGACCTCATGATTGTGTTTGGAACAGAAGAAGACATAGAGCAAAAACAATATGTTTTCTTTGTGAAAGGTAAACATAAAAGGGCATTCCTGACCTCATCACTGCCAGCCCAGAACCACATGACCAGCCCAAAGAATGCTGGGAAGATGAGTGCCCATGTGTAGTATCCCAGCCAGGCACAGTACATGGCAATCTTCACTCCAAAGTAGTCACAGATGTAGTCTGTGGGCAGGCAGAGTCAAACTTTATACGTTAAACCAACAGAGCTTTATATTACATTAACCACGAAAACAGCTACGGTAAAAATAACAAGACTGGCAATGAAAACGTGGGAACAGGGCCTTACATGTATTAGTTCATATTTTATAAGGTGTTTTGAACCCACTGTAAACCATCTGTGAATTACATTTTTGTACCACACAAATCCCCCCTCTCTTAGATGTAGAAGAGTCCTGTTACAAACCCCCCTATCTTAGAAGTAGAACAGTCCGACAATACAAGGCAACCAACCATAAGGTTGGTAAGACAGAAATGTATGACTGTGTATGTTCTGATGTTAGAAAGTTAGGAAAGTGAGTTGAACTGACCTAAAGGCTGAGGTTTGAAGAGAGCGTGAACCCAGGTCTTCTTCAGCGTCTCCAAGTCCTCACTTCTGTGGAGGGGCAGGATCTGCTTTATCATGCCTTTGGACAGACACTTGGGAACTGGAAGGAACAAACAAGTCAAAACAAATGAAATGTTGCAATACTTGGATTTAAGTCTGGAGATATTGCAGAGACTAGCATTATGCTTCAATACTGAAGAACAACTGAGTGTGTAACTGTCTCTTATCTGTTGCTTAACGGGATGAGTAAATTTTGGAGGAAATTCTTGTAGTCAAAAATATGAGGCAGAACTCATAGCAACTTCAGAAATCATGCAGAAACTGCAACTAGACAATATAGCTGGATCCTTTTATCAGATAATGTCACGATATAATCGGATCCATAATATAGGATTTGCAATTATACATTGACATAGATGTACAAAGTAAGTGATAGAAACTTCTAAAATCCTTTGAAGAAATCGATGTTTTCTGCTGCAATAAGAATTTGTGCAAGGGTATTAAACAACACCAGCTGTCAAGAAGGTCATGTATTGGAAAAACACCTGTCCTGTGAAAACAGCGAGCGCTACCAGATGCAGATGTGGATTGTGATTGATGACTTTCTCCCTCTGAGACAGACTGAACCCAACCATATCCATCACAACCTGACCTAAGGGCCATGAAGAAACACAGACATACAAACACAAACATACCAAAAACAATACCTCCATTTCTTTTTTCGTGAGACAGAGTCTTTATGAAGGATACTTACTGATTGGTTGTCCCTCAAAGAACACATATCTCTTGAGCTTGTCACCCGCTACAGCTCTCAAGTTGTCCAGCATGTACTTTACTATAGACTGTCTCTCCTAAAATATAACGGGAGGAAAGATGGTGATCAGCCAGCTGACGAACAGTTAGGTAAATATAGGTAAAACTAGAAACTTAAGGTAACATTTACAAAGCAAATACATAATGTTTTTACATTCGCATATGGTCTGCTCTGTTAATTCTTACTCAAATACAAGACAGGAGTCTAAATCCCTCCTGCTAAAAAATTGCAACATGATGTTACCCAACACAAGTTACCATGGTAACAGATGGTCTGGTTCAGGTCATTGACCTTTTGTGTTTGGAACGTAAGAAGAAACAGAGCAAAAACAATATTTTTTCCTTTGGTAAACATAAAAATGTACTGTACTCCACAATAACTTAATGTTTAAAAGGCATTTCAACATTAGTCCTTTGGAAGATGTTTCCAGAACTGAATGTCCAACCTGAGATGAGAAGAAGGTCATCTCATCCTCCACACCATCAAAACTCTCCTTCTCCTCGTACAGGAAGTGTTTCTTCCCTCCTCCAAACTCAGGTTTCACTGTCTTCTTCAGACCCAGCTCTTCTGCATACCTCAACAAACTGTTAATCAAAGACAAGATTCGGGTTGAAAACAAAATTTGACTACCTGCTTTGAGCTCTAACAGCTCTAACACTTTTTAAACGTTACCACAAAAAATTTGATCATAGTCAATTCAATAAATTAGTTTAAAGGTTTAAGTCCTGCACCAGGTGGTGCATAGAGCAGTGCCCATCTCCGGTTCAATAGCCCTTGGGCCACACAGTAGTGCAAACACTACAGCAGGGGGCTAGTCTACTGGTGTACTGTGACACTCTTTATCATATATACATGTACAGTGTGCTGCATGCTGAAAGCAATACGTGCCAAATTTTTCTAAGATCTTTAAGTATGACTTGGTCGGGGATCGAAATCAAAACCTACCAAATGCAAGGTGAACACTACCCAAATGGCCATTGCATTTGATAAATATAAAGTAGATCATCGCTGAGTTCCTTTCATGAAACTTACTTGTCGTACGTTGCGGTCATGTAGAACCCCCAGACCTTGAGATGCGGCAGGTAGCGGACGTGTACGCCGAGCGCCGGCATGCGGGATCGCAGGCGGGACAGGAGCCACATGAGGGTGTGGTCGCCCGTGTTGTTGGGGAAGGTCATGAGGATGTCACAGTCTCGCGTGGGGATGGTTCTCATCCACTCCATGGTGGTCTGTACCAGGTGGCCAGTCTTCTGCAGTTTACTGGCAATGGCCTGGCCTGGAATTAGAAAACACAGAGCAAACTTTACAACGGTCACGTGTCTCTGACGTCACGTTCCAAGAGTAGACGGGTCCATTCTGTCAGAACAAGGTTGAAGGAGTCAGTCAAAAATATGGGGTAAGACTCCTAATTCATTCCAGTGCTTGCAGATAAAGTTGAGTATTGACTTTTATGTAAAATTATACCAGGTGTTCCAGCTCGTGTGATAACTTATAGCGGTATGGCCCGGGGCTCTCTTTAGTTATCATACAGGCTTCCAAATGTTCCAAGTTGAACATGTTTGAAACATTTGGCTGGCGCAGCCAACAATAGCCAACCTGGCTTAACACTGAGTGTTCAGAAGGCCATATTTTGCTATGTGACTAACACTCAGGGGCTTGAGTGAGTCAGTGAGTGCTACCTGTAACTTATTGATTTCCAAATGAAACAGAAATTTACTGGCCTACTGAAAGATGACATGGGCATTGCCTGTCTTACATTGTGCTCAAATTCAATACATTACTGTCAACCTGAATGTCATCATTATTCCACAACCCAACCACATTATAAAAGGAAAATAGAACCTCTAAAATATTAGCCACAAAACTGAAGTTGACCTATAGACATTGTGATGTGGATGTTTCCAAACCCTGCTTATATTATAATTCCATGACTGCATCTGTTCAAGATCACCTTGGGATAAGGCATTAAAATGTAATCTTCTTCCTATTCTATAATTTATACCAATAAAACAATGGTATTTTAAGTACATGTATGTAGGATATGATAAAGCAGACTAATTCATTTGAGAAGTGGCATTAACAGATATCACCTGGACCAGGTGCTAGCGATGACATCTCAATTGTTACAGTCAAGATATCAGATCCACCCTTATTGAATTTATGATTAGGCTAACTGCGGAGCACAATTTCGTGCTTGGCTTGTTGGATGGTTGAATAATTAATGCTGTTGAGTCTGGAGACATCTGTATGCAAGGGACCAGAAGTGTATAAAAATTCATAAGTGGTGTCGGGTGGCATAGTGGTAGAGCGCTCGACTATGAAATGGCGAGACCCAGGCTCGATCCCAAGTTGTACCCGGTACTCACTCTCATCTGCCGAATAAACATACCCCCCCGAATAAACGTACCCCCCCCCGGACAAATCTTCAAAATCAAATAAACATACCCCCGGAATAAACGTACCCCCCGGAAAATTACCAAAATTGACGGGTAACCTGTGTCTCTTGTACTAAAATGTGCCCTTACTGATATATGCACAAATCTTTAACTGTTATTTGCAATTAGGAATTGAAATAGACAAAAAAAAGGGGCATTTAATATTTCGTATTTTGATAAGCACCACCCATGACAATAGAACATTCAGACGAATTTATGCACGCGGTGATTGCAAAAAACGGCCCGAAAATGACAAGTTTCTCGCTACAATACGCGTTTATAAACGTCTTCACGTCGATGATTTGTCAATTTTTTTCACACGAAGTTGAAAAAAATTACTGGTTTTCAAAAAATTAATAAACGTACTGTGCAAAATAAGAACGTACTGGGTGGATGTTAGGGCCCAAAAAAATAAACGTACCCGTATGTTTATTCGGCAGATGAGAGTACATGTCTGGACATGCGCCCCGACGTTGTGTCCTTGGGAAAGGCACTTAACACGACTTTCCTCACCCCACCCAGGTGTGAATGGGTACATGTACCTAACTTCGGTTGGGGAAAGTCATATTGAGGTCACCTGGTGGCGCCGAATGGCAGCTGCACAGACCGTTGTGACTGTTCCACAAAAATGTGTGGAGCAAATATATCATGACATTGTGTATTATGTGATTGTAAACCCTGCATCATAAAAGGCTGCGAATGCTTGGGTAATGTTTGACAATAAACCATTTATTATCATAACTGGGAGGTCAGCTCTAGGGTGCCCAGCAGTGTTCTAGCCAGCTTGAATTTTTTTCCGTCATCTCAATTCTTGTTTGACGATAATCATGTCAAGCACTCTACAATCTGGGGGGCAGGCTGAACTTTTAGACGAAAAAATAGTAACGAAAAGGAAGATGAGGACTTTTCCTCAACTGTTGGGGCTAAAATATCGGCATTTCGGAGTTGTTTCAGAACCTGAATCCTTTTCTTTTTAAATCAGGAAAAAGGAAGTGGGCGAATCCAAGAACCAATTGATTACTAGTAAATTGGTAAGGCTTAATTGACATTATGTACCCTCCCAGATTTTAAACCAATTCCACTTTAGCCACTAATGTACAAAAAAATCTATGACAACCATAATAAATTTTTCCCCAAAGTCCACTTTGAAAGGAGAATGATCCATATGGTGCTGATCCCTATAGACCCTGTTTATACCAGACTTACATTTAGCGGTTTCAACCGGTTTTTCAAAAACCGGTTTTTATTTAACCTGGTGTGAACGCAAATTAACCGGTTTTTTAGGGGTTTAAATCCGATTTTGAAAAACCACCTCGGGAGGTGGTTTTTGAAGGGTTTTTGAGGGGTTTTTCCATCGAACGCTAAGGGTTTATTGAACCAGTTTTTGCGTCATAATTCCGGGGTCACGGGATTAGCATCCTAGCCGTGTGCGACCTCCAAGCTTTTTTGATCACGTTGTTTTGACTAATTTGAGTTCGTTTCCACTGTTTTTCCACGGTTTTTCTTCATTTTGCGATGGAATCAGCATACGCAACCTGTTCGGCGGACGGGACGCTCCTGATACTTATTTTTGGAGAGCAGGAGTCGCCGAATTCGAAAAAGCTGGGGGGGGGGGCTCTACCGAAACAAAAATGTTGGAGGAGCCTAGTTTCTCAAAGATAAAGGATCAGTGCCGCAGTATATTAAAGGTATATGAAGAACCTGAAGACGGCATACAAGAAGGCGACAACAATTGGGAGAGCGGGAGGAACGGCTATTCAAACTGCAGTCATGGCGGATTAATTGGATATTCACCGGACAGGATTTTTACAAAACCGGTTATGAAAAGTCTCACGCTAAGGGTTTTAGCCGGGTTTTCCTCCGCTAATTATTTAGCGGTTTCAACCGGTTTTTAAAAGTCTGGTATGAACGGGATCATACTGGCACACAGTGACAACATCAGCTTGAGAAACATTTACATGACATAGGGGGTATTGATTTGGGGGCTGGTGGTAATACAATACTGGACCACGACAAGATAATGTATCGGAGATCTAGCCTGAGGTACGTGATGGGAAACACAATACACAATCTGCTCCATCACAGAACTATCTGGTGGTGGCTTGAGGCCAACAGATGGGTGGAAGGTCATTGACTCGAAGATACAGGAGCTTCTAATTGGGAAGTGAATATATGGGGGTGGGGAAAATGATGTATATGTATATGTATACTAGTATACGTATAACACATACAAGTGTACACTACTAGTACATGTACATGTATGATATCAGTCACCAGAGTATTGAACACAACACAAGAGTGTTCAGAACTGCTTTTTATACACATCATTCACGATGATCTTGGCTTCCAAAGGTTAAACATTGTTAATTGTATGATTGATAAATCACTGATTTTCTTCTTCATACTTCAAATGTGTGTTTCTTAACATTAAATTTTTTTATAGCATTTCATGTTGATAAAAGAAAAAGTGACAGTACAGCCATTACAGACATGACAGAGCTCTTAACTTAAGTTTGGCACCTAAACAACAAATATGGTGGTTTACAAGGTTTCACAATTGAAAATGTTTTGAAATTTTTCATTTTAGTTTATAAACGATTTTTTCTGACATAACATACACCACAATTTCATAGACTTGTTAATTACATTGTACATGACTTTTACAGGTAACTGCTATGTCAGATTAAAATGTCATCCAGGCTTGAAATTGCAGAAGTAAAAGGATAATTAGATTGTGATATAGAGTGGGTGTGGCCTTTAAACGGTAACTAAAGTCAACTGCTTTGGAATGGAAATGGAAATCAATGATCATAATTCATAGCTAAGAGACTGAAAGATAACTGACCCAGTTATCAAGTACTACAGTTAGTAGCTATGTAGCAAATCAATAACAGTCTGTCTCCACTGTCTCCACCATCGCGACTATTTAGATAATTGTCTAATCCAAAATGAGTCATCCCACCACTTGCTACGCCACGCCTGATTTCTGTTTAATCAAGGCTGACAGAAAGGTCTGTGTGTCTATTTGAAACTGCAGCTACTGATGTTGACATGGAACAGCAACTGTATTACAAACGTTACATGATATTGAACTGAACACCTATTTCCAAGTTTCTCTTCTCTGTGCCATTCTGAAAATTGATTTCCATCTTTTGTGACACCATTTTGTCAGATTGTTTAACTGTTATCCTCCTGACATGTACGTACACGCTGACCTACTAAAGTAGGTCTCCACCAGACTAATCACACGGGTTCAAAATCACAGGGGAATAATTTGCCAAGGGAGTTTCGCACGGTAAACTGTTCATTTGCCAGCGGATTGTCTCTCCTGGTAAATTTATTTCCCTTTTTTTTACAGAATTCTATGGTCTGTACCCCCATAGGAAGGCCTGGTGGAGGCTAACATTTACCGGGAAACAGTACACTGGCACTGTAACTGTTGCTTAGAATATAACGTGTTACATAACAGTCTCTTGTCAGGGGTTTAAGTTAACTACTACATTTAGGGATTAGCATGATCCAAATAGATCTAGAATGATTGGTAGTCAGGTAGGTTAATTATCATAATATACTGAAATCTCAGCCTTGATGACAGGTGATGATAAGCTACTTAGACTAGATGTGCTCCAGTTTGTTTGCTATAAGCATTTGGAAAAGATAATATATGACAGCTTTAATACACTGACCTGTTGGCCCCTCACAGGCCTGGTTTAACTTCTGCATGACCTGCTGGTGTAGCCTCCGTCCTGGGCTGTCGGTGGGAGCGTCAGTCTTGGCCGCCCCTCCCACGCACCCTGCCCTGTCCACCCCTGGTCCTTCCTTCTCCATTCCACCTCTTCAAAATATTGTGTGAAATGTTCACCCCTGGCCACACCCACATCTCACACTAACGCCATTTGGTGTCTGTTATTCTGTCTCACGTTACATACACGCAAAACAACAAAAGCAGGACGGGTGCAGCAATGCCGGTAGGTAACGTTACGGGTGAGAAAATCTGGCTACATCAATCAAAGGTGGCCTGGTAGAGCTGATATGGTGACATACTGGCCACAGATTTCCCTCACAGCTGATCGATGTTGACGTTACAGCAGCGACACCTAGTGGCGGTAATAGTTGGTGCAGACTTCTTGTGCCCGTGCATTAGCGCTATCTAGCGATATTTTACAGTATTGCAGCCCTATTGTGCTTACGTGCAGAGTGCCACATGCAATATAGCTTTGGCCGCATGGCGGCGCTTCCAACAATGCCCGGAGTTACACCATTGTACGCAGTGCGCATGCCCCCGTCAGAATTTAGGTAAGCAAACATGGCTGGCCGTCTTGTCGCCTGACCTTCTCTGTTTTGTAACGAGTTTTCTGCTTCGTCACCGAGTGTTTGTAAAAGTTTGGCCCGATGCAACGAGTGAGAGGTCATTGACGTAACACCCGGGCCCCACAAGTCACCAACAGACTGGAAGAAATCCCCGTGTAGCGGCTGTAAACTGCGGAGTAAGATTTCCTGGCTCTGTGTGTTGTTCCCTCAGACGCCACCGATTTTCCCCCAGTGTTTTCGGGGTCTGTGAACCCGTCTTTTGAACGGAACTGCTTCCCTCAACATGCCGGGAGGACTCAGGTTTTCATACCGTCCGCTCAGACGGATTCTCTGCGTGGCCAGACCACAGAAAACAGGTAAGGAAACAAACAGGATGTGTATAAATAACACTTTATTGTTTGGGTTCATCAGCCTTCTGTGAAGCCATATCGGGA